TTTTCGGTCTGGTTACTACCGTTTATGTCAGAACCGGTGCCATGATGGCACCGGATACCGGTACCCATCCCTACTGCTCTATACGAGTCATTTTCTAGAGAAGAAAAACCAGCACCACCCTCCATATTTCTTCTTCTGTCAGTCTATGAGACTTTTTACAGTTCTCCTTGTGTCTAATTTTGGCTCGTTAATCTGCTGGAGTCAGCCTGATGGTTTCAGCATTATAGACACACAAGCGACACACACACACATACACAGGATGTCTGACAGCATCCTAGGCCTGAAAAAGCCTCTTAAAAGTGAATGATGTGACTCAAAGCTCTGAGCATGTGGAAACACAACTAAACTTCTGCAGCGTTAAGGCCAGCTGCTACAGCAGACAAGAGGTTAAAAGTAGAGCCTGACTGATTGGACTGAGGAGTGTTAAGGCCGATACTGATATTTGGCAATTTAATTTTGCAGGCCATGGTTAAAGGGTGTTTCTCCAGTCTCCTCTTAGCTTCTTCATTTTTTAACTGCATGCCTGCCTTTATTGTGGTACGACTTTATGTTATTTGCAATAGCACAATAACTCAAAAGTTTGAAGCAATGCTGATCAAACTTTTTAGGGGTGTAAGTAGAGTGCTTCTTGTTTATTTTGAGGCTATGGTGTCATTTTACTCTAATGTATCACATTTGAGTTGTAAGCGGGTAAAGGAATATTCCAGCATGCTGAACATAACCCTCCATTCACTATTTTGACTCTGTTTAACATAATTACATAATTTCCTACGTGTTTAACAATTCCTTTAACTTAAAAGTTGCACCAAGTTTTTAATGTGTTTGGGTGTTTTTGCTATCAGGGCTTACAAAATTACAGTTCACGACTCGGGTGTGTGTTCATTCTTACTTGCGGCCTCCACCAGCTCTGGGTGCAGGCTGTAGGGGATCAGCGGATCGGGCAGGTCAGCAAAGAAAGCCTTCAGCGCTCCAGCAACGGCATTCACCGCCACATCCATCGCCACAAAGTCAATACTGTGATCTACAGGGAGAGGGAGGGAGAGAGAGAAAAGAGGCTCAACAGCAGATTCGCAAGGTCACTCTGTTTCTGAAGCTTGTTCTGTAGCATTCGTTTCATCCTCTGCATCACAAACAGGAAAACAGCAAAACAACTCCACCCACACGCAGCTTCTGGTTAATACGTTCAAACTCACTGTCCTCTAAAGTCTCCCTTTAGGACTTCACAAACAGTTAAAGCACTCTCCTTAAACCATTTGTCACTGCGCTCGGCACATTTGTTCTTTTCCTCGCTGTTGTAGCATCAAATTACATTTTTCTGCACAGAAAACTTCCAACACAGTTCTCCAGCCCTGTTCTTAGAAAGTATAAATCACATCCTTCCCATTTGATCTTTTCTACACTATAAAGGGAAACAGCAAAGCACCCCCATATACAATGCAATGTCATTTAAATATGCATGTCTGACAATATCTTATTATAATCTTCTGATCTAGTTCCCTCGAGTGTAATGTCATTCAAATTTATTCACGTGTGGCATAACTTGTTGTTTTTCTGGAAGGGAAACTGTTCATGATTACGAGCAAAAACAACAACAGTATCTGGCATCACTGGAGTAAAAATCCATTATAACCTATTAAAATATTGTAATTTAAAAAGTGGCAGAGGGACTGCATGGTAGCGTCTGTATGGAATGTATAGTAGCGACCAACTGATTGCTGAGGTAAGACTATGGTTAGATAACCTGTATTTATCACCCTGTCACATGTCAGTCAATATTATTACTTTATTTTTTAAGTGGAACTGGTTGTTGATTCAATCGCCTGAGATTAGCTGACCTTAGTACCATCTGCCAGACGTTGCTAATGGATACTTCACCTGTCATCAAGCTGCTCAAGATCAATCCCACAGTCTCGGGTCACCACAACATTACCAGTGTACATATATGAACCTGAAAAGGTGTATTGG